GAAGGGGGCCGGGGCGGGTGAAGCGGAGGCCGGGAGGCGTGCGGAGCCGAGGGGAGGAGGAGTGAGAGAGGGCTGGGAAAGCCGAGCGGGAACGCGCGCGGGTCGGGTTCTTCCGCGACTCTGTCAGTTGCTATCTGAGGCTACGGCGGGCGGGCGGGGACGACGCCCGGGACTTCGGAGTGCAGCAGCCTTCGGCTCCCCTCACGTTCGACAAAGGAAGATGCTTAGAGCACCGCGAACAGGCAGCCCTCCCTCGCCGGCCTCATCTCAGGCTCCGCGGCTTCGCACCTCCATCCGGCGCCTGGCGGAGTCCGTGGCCCGCGGAGCAGTACCCGCGGGACCGCGGCGGAGGCTGGACTTTGAGCCGGCGGCCACAGGTGCGCCCGCGCCGGGTCGTGGGAAGCGTGGACTCAGAGCTTGACAGCGCGGCGCTGGCCCATGGATGGAGGACCCTGCCGTGACACCCGCCAACGCCATGACTGCCCCCGAGGTCGCCTCGGCAGCTCTCCTCCAGTTTGCGACTCGAACCCTGATACCGGGAAGTTGTCCCTCGGAAGAGCTAGTGATCGGAGGCCGAGGAATTAGACTCAATCTCAGTGTCTCGGTGTGAGGAATTGTGGAATTGTAAACAAATGGGTTTGGTAGGATGAAAACTTCTTAAATGACCTTACAGTCTTATTAAACCCAGGAAGCCAAAATTTATCAAGGTTTGGATCAAACTGGTCTTACAAATTTTCATCACCCCCACACATTCACCCACTCCCACTCCAGGATGACGAATTTTGTACTATGGGATGCAGTTCTCTGGCAAATACGATGTCAGGAAATAATGACTGGTACGTGGCTGGAAGGCTAGGTAAAAATACTTTCTTGAGATTTACATTTCACTAGGCATACAAATCAAGTTGTCTTTTAAGTGGCTACCAAATCCTACTGATTTGCAGCTACAGCATAAGCCATAAAGTAAGTAGGTCTTATATAGGAAAAAGGAAAGTAATCAGCAGAATGTACAGGGTAGGGCAAAAGTAGGTTTACAGTTCATATGGAAAATACAATAATTAATAAATAATACAAGAATAAATTGTTTTGTGTACTCACAACTATAAACCTACTTTTGCCCCCACCCTGTATATCTGAGAATGTCAATGGTCAACATGTTGCCTTTCAATAGTACAATATTTTTAAAGCCATATTTATATATGGTTAACAAATTAATTTTTTCATTCCATACGAATGTTTTAAGTGCCCTTGCTCTGAGCACTGGAGATTCAAAGCAAACAAAAATGACAGAGACAGAGCTAACTTTCTATATGAGGAGACAGTACCTAAGTAAACAAGGTAATCTCAGATGAGTGTTCTGAATGAGAACTAAGCAAGGAAATGAAGGCCTGAGGAAGGTCTCTCTAACGAGGTCACATCTGAGGTGCTCAGGTTAAGATTCATTCAAAAGTCCTCACATTGCCCCAACTCCAGAAGTTACTGGGCAATACAGGAGCAAAATAGCAGGACTATATCATTTATACATTTAAGATAATCCTCTGGACTCTGGTGCCAAACACTGAAATATTTCTAATAAGGCAAAAATGACCTAGGCATATTTTTCTCACAAAATGTGAACATGGAATGAAATTTTTGTAACCAAAAAATGAAGTCAATGAAATTTTTAAGAAGTGAAAAAATGCACATTCTATATGTCAATTGAAGAAGTTTGGGTTTTTCTTTTATACTAGCAAGTGACACTAAATGAGTATAAATGTGGAAACAATCTAAAGCCTGTCTATATAGGACCAGAGACACTGAGGACTCATGGCCGGTCCATGGCTGGCATAGAGAAAGAGTAGTTCCAGGTCCCCTCAGAAGGAAGTTTCTAAATACAATAACCTTGTGTGCTTTCATCTTGGAAAACAGTTACTTCATGGATAATTATAGATATTAATAGTCAGAGAAAGAACATTACTGTGTGCATAAGCGATACTTTTAGTAATGACTTCATTCTGTAGTCTTAGTCCTATACTTGAAAGTTACAGGAAAAAACTAAATGTACTTGCTATCATTCATTACATTTCCTTTATGTTGTAGCACAATACCCAAATTGCAGAATGGAGAACACTAATATGATACGTGTTTTTCATACATAAGACATATAACTAACCCTGGCTGGTGTGGTTCAGTTGGTCAGAGCACTGTCCTGTAAAAAAAGGTGTCGTGTTCGGTTCCCAGTCAGGGCACATACCCAGGTTTCAGGTTCAATCCCAGTTTGGGGCTCATACAGGAGGAGGCAACCGATTGATGTTTCTCATGTTGACATTTCTCTCCCTTTCTCTCTCTAAATCAATAAAAACATATCCTCAGGTGAATATTTAAAAAAAGGCACATATCTGTACTTAGTTATGCAGATTAAATTGTAAATATTTTCAACTTTAATAATGGTATACATTTTTTTCTTTTTACTTAACACTACCTCTTTCCCCAAAGTGGCTGAAATGTCTTAAAGTTGCCTCTTTACATTTAGGGGGTCAACTAGGAGGAAATGTGAGAAAGAAAATAATTACCTATTCATTAATGTTATATGAATGTGGAACTGTTGGATTAGAAAGATTAGACATAACGCTTGCACGTCTTTTATTTGTAATTTCTTTAACTTTATTTTTATTGTTGATATTATTACAGATGTCCCCATTTTCCCCTATCACTTTGCCCACCTACACCCAGCCTCCACCACCCGTTCCCTCTGGCCATCACCACACTGTTGTCTGTGTCTATGGGCTATGCATATATGTTATTTGGCTAATCCCTTCACCTTCTTTCATCCGGTCCACCCTTCCCTCCTCCCCAACAGCTGTCAGGCTGTTCCATGTATCCAAGGCCTACACTTTTACACGGGTAGAAGATTCAACCTCCCTGCAAACCCCAAGAGCCTATGGGTCTCTTACCACCTGCTTCCAATAATATAAGACTGGGAAATCTCTTCTGGTTACCAGATATAGGAAAGAGTGGCAATAAAACTGGAATTTTGCTCCCTTAACCACCATACAAATAATCATGGAATTAATTGTGCTAAATTTTCCTTAAACAAATTAAATTTTCATTGATAACATCTCAGAACAAGACATTAAGAATCAAGATGATGAAGTAAAACTGCCTAATAACATTTAGATAAACTCAGGGAACCTCAGTTTTAAAAACTCTTAAACCAACACATAATTTACTTCTGTCTAATAAGGGAATAAAACATTCATTTATTCAACAAATATTTCTTGAGTCACTCTAAGGTCTCAGACTTTTCTAGACACTGAGAATATGGTGCTGAACAAGAGTCCAAACTCTTGGGAACTTAGTTCTTAGTGGGAAGAAGAATAAACAAGATGTTTGCAAGTTGTACTAGGAACTAGGAAAAAAATAGTTGATAGCAAGCAACTGGAGGAGGCCAAATTTAGATAGGGTGGTCAGGAAAGACATCTTTAAAGATGTGGAATCTGGACAGAGGTATAAAGAAAGAAAGAAAAGGAACCAGCATGGAAGAAGGTAGCGAAGAACATCTGGCAGAGAGAAGAAAAAGTATAAAAGCTCCAACGCAGAAATGGGTTTGACTTGTTTGCAGAAGAAAAAGGAGACCAGAGTTGCTTAGTACACTCTGGGAGGGAAAAGATGTCTGTGATGTGGTTAGAAAAATACAAGGGGGTAGATTATGCAGAATCTTGTAAATCCTGGGAAGGAGATTAGATAAGCGTGTAAAGCTATTGCACCATCTAGGAGGCTACTGTGTATGTTAGGCGAGAGCTGATGGTGGCTAACTGGGGTTATTTTAGAGGTATGTACAGCTAACAGGACTTCTAATAGGAGTGAAGGACAGAAAACCAAGTACTGACTCCTAGGTTTTTGCCTTAAGCAACTAAATAGAAGTCATTTCCTAAGAGACCGAGAAAAGCACAGGTTTGAGCAAGAAAATCGAGCATATTAAGTTTGGATACATTAAATATGAATTGCCTATTAGACATACATGTGTAGATTATGAGTAGAATATATGTAGAGCAGCCAGGATTGGAGAGAGAAGATTGGGAGGCATCAGCTCATACACAGAATTTAAAATAATGGGATAGATGCGTTTACCTGGCAAGAAAGTGTATATACAGAAGAGGGTTCAGAGCTAAGACTCAAAAAGGATGATAGAGGTCCTTATGAGAAGAACACAGGAAAGAAGAATGAGGAGCAGTAGTAGGACAAAAAGAAAATGTCCCCCAAATGAGAAAGGGGGCAACCGTGTTGAATGTTGCTCGAAGTGGAAGTGTCCATTAGATTTGTCAACATGAATATCTTGACAAGAGCAGTTTCAATGCAGTCACATGAGCAAAAGCCTGAATGAAAGGGTTTATAAAAAGGGTGAAGAGGAAGTGGTAAAGCAAGTATAGACACCTCCTCTTTTTGCTGAGATATGAAGAACACAAGTGAGGATTGAGAGGAGATAAGAGAAGAGAAAATTGGGTTTCCTCTTTTTTTTTTTTTTAAGATGGAAGATATTAGATAATTTTGTATGCTACTGGAATTAAACTAACAGAAATGGTGAAATCAAGCACCTACTATGTTCCAGGCGCTAAGAATACATTAATGAACAAGACAGATACAACCTTCACCCTTGAGAAACTAACAAGTAAATAAGCAAGAAGTTATTCCAGATTGTAATAAGTGTTGTTTTTAAAAGATCCTTACCTGAGGATATGTCTCTATTGATTTCTAGAGAGAGAGGAAGGGGGAGAGAGAGAGAAACATCGATCAGCTGCCTCCCGTAGGAACCCCAACCGGGGACCGAACCCGCAACCTAGGTATGTGCCCTGACTAGAAATCGAACCCACAACCTTTTTGGTGTACAGGACGATGCTCCAACCAACTGAGCCACCTTGCCAGGGCTGTTGTAAGTGCTTTTAAGGAATAAAACTTTTACCTTCAATATGAAATAAATAGGCTTGAATTTCTCCCCTTCACAACTTGCATGACAAACATTCTTTCAACAAATATTTTTCAAACACTATGCTTACTATGTCTGCCAGCTATGCTAGAACCTGGAAATACAATGAGGAACAAGAGGCAGTTCCTGCACTCGAGCTTACAGTCCAGGGGGGAAAAATAATAATTTGACAGGCAATTACAGTACGTTGCGGTAAACGCTATAATGTAGACAAGTCTAGGATGCCGTGGAAATACAAGAAAAGAAAACTAACCTTTTGGAGGAATTAAGGAGAGTTTTATGAAAGAAGGAGTAAATAGGAATTAAAAATAACAATAGGAGAAGCTAAAGAAAAGAGGATGTAGGCAAGGAAAACATGTTTCAGGCAGATGGAACAGCACATGCAAGTCTTAGAGGAAACAGAATATAAAAATTTGTGACCTATATAATCTAGTGGTAAAATTGTACTTGATTAAGAGAAGTACGTAAAATACATTTTCAAAATTGGACTTTACTTAGAAGACATTGGAGAGCTACTGAGCTATTGAGCAGAAAACAACATGATGAACATTTTAGAAAGCCTGGATGGATGAAGCTATCAAGCATTAAAACAGATA